CAGCTGTCAGCAGTCTGGGGAGTGGTGAGGTATGTGCTCCAATGGACGCAGATGTAGGAGCTGTGCTTTAGAGATGAGCATGTTTCCAATTAACAGTGAGGGAGAGAAATAGTGCGGGGACGCTGAATAGCATACATACAGAAAACTCAGATACTATCAGTTACATGTTGGGAGTGATTAGTAGCTAAATCTGCCAAGGTCATGCTTTTCCAATGTCATAAAAGGGATAAATATAAGGCTCGGAAATAGTTGAGTAAGTTTGGAGTCACGTTGTTGATGACTTTGAATTCTAGGCGGAAGACATGTACCACCACCGTGAGATTCTGGTCTGAAATGATGATCTAAAACTCAGACAATAACAGCACTCATACATTAACAGTCCACTGCATCCCATTTGGCAGAGCACAGAAACTCCCTAGCATGATCATTCATGCTTAAAACAGATAGGCTGCACCTGGATTAATGTTACAATAGTAATTTGTCTATTGTCAAGATTATAATTGCTATTACTTTTGCATAGGCCTTAGGTCAGCTTGCCCCTAGTAACTCCTGATCCTAACAATCATGTATTCCTCCTCCCCTCCTTGTGGTTTTTGCCTTTATAAACCCTGTTGCTTTGAGCTTCGGGGTTGAGAGTTCTTTAGGGCATGAGCCTGTTCTCCACCGCTGGCAATAAAGGACCATCCAATTCTATCAGTGTGTGGTGCTCCTCTGTTTGCACTCGCTCAGGTACAACAAATTAAAGAAGCAACACCTGTGGAGCACAGGAGACAAGAGATCCAGCTCGGATGGCTGCTGATCACCACACCTAGTGTCTTTTTCAGACTGGAGCAGATTCAAAAACGTGTGTCTCAAGACACCGGAGGACTCCATATCTGTAAGTCTCTTTCCTTCTGGAGTAAACCTGTAGACCAAATGAAAGCCAGTGGAACTTTACTTTTATTGTAAGATCCATAATAACGATACAGTGAAGGGGTGAGACTGATGACTAATGTGATGAAAACATATTTTTTAAAGATTTATTTATTTATTTGAAAGATGGAGTTACAGAGAGGCAGAGGCAGAGAGAGAGAGAGAGAAGTCTTCCATCACTGAAGTGGCCACAATGGCCAGAGCTGGGCTGATACGAAGCCAGGAGCCAGGAGCTTCTTCTGGGTCTTCCACGGGTGCAGGGTCCCAAGGACTTGAGCCATTTTCTACTGCTTTCCCAGGCCATAGTAGAAAGCCAGATCAGAAATGGAGCAGCAGGGACACAAATCAGCACCCATATGGAATGCTGGCACTGCAGGCGGCAGCTTTACCCGCTATGCCACAGCGCTGGCCCCAAGACATATGTTTTTAATATAAAGGACTACTGTCTTTGCAACAGTCTGCTAATCTCCTTACACTGTGGTTTAGAATAAAACTAAGTCAACCTGAAAAAGGGGAATATATATATATATTCATACATATACGTATACATATACATATGCATGTATATATACATATACACACATACATATATATACTATTATGCACACACATACAAGTGTGCACCATGTACAAGTGATCTTTAAAGAGTTCATGGAAAATGCACATTATCACTATCTTTTAATTCCATTTTCCACAAACTTCTTGAAATACTCTCATAAATAATGTGTGGTACACACACTTTGATGTAGGCATAGCCCATCTGTAGAAAGTTACATAGGAAACTGGAGATCAGGGCAGCATGACCGAGATAAAGGAAAGTGAGGAGACCTTCTTTGTACTTCTTGCTCCTACTGGGGTTTGGGACGGAATGCAGGATAAAAGACATAGGAGATCGGTGTCCTTGGGTATTCGCTGTCATGTTCTGGGAATGAATAAATTAGGATCTGAATGGGAAAAGAAGGGGTGTGAGCTAGAGCTACAAGAATACTTTTTGGGGCCGGCGCTGTGTTGTAGCAGGTAAAGCCGCTGCCTGCAGTGCCAGCATCCCACATGGGTGCCGATTTGTGTCCCCGCTGCTCCATTTCTGATCTGGCTCTCTGCTATGGCCTGGGAAAGCAGTAGAGAATGGCTCAAATCCTTGGCCCCCTGTGCCCAGGTGGGAGACCCAGAGGAGGCTCCTGGCTCCTGGTTTCGGATTGCCCCAGCTCCAGTCTTTGTAGCCATCTGAGGGAACCAGTGGATGGAATGGAAGACTCTCTCTTCTCTTTCTCTCTCTCTGCCTCTGCCTCTCTGTAACTCTGCCTTTCGAATAAATAAATCTTAAAATAAACAAAAAAAGAATACCTGTTCTGCCTGGTGATGACTAGCTGTGTCAGGAGAGTGGGTGATGGGGGGAAGGTGGGAGGGCAGTCGTCAGAAAGGACTTTTTGCTGTCAAGCCTGCATTAGTAAAAAGGAAGACACTTAATAGATGAAACGGAAACTGGTTCCATCATGGCATGGGTCTGCAAAAGAACCATGCACAATCGGGGCAGAGGTTGACGGGCTGGAGGCAGCAAATATGTTTTGCTTTCCCTTTGATTCAAACCACAGCTGCGCTGTTCTATCATGTGTCTTGCTACCCACAGCTTCTGACCTTTTGAGATGATGGGATGGCTAAAGAAAATTCAACAACAAGTCCTTGGAGTCACCTCGAGGTGGGGGGAGGCAAAGGGATGATAGAGTGTAGTGCAAGATGTGGTATGAGCACTCAACCGGCAACCAGCCAAAATGTGTCTGTGCTACAGCCAGAAAGCATGAGGCTAGGGAGTAAAGGGACGGAGGGGGTGATGCTTTGCAATGCGTTCCCCAACACTGCCACCTCCAAAGTGAACACTATTGAGTAAATTATTTGACATCTCTTTGCTCATATCATCTCATCAGCAAGGATTACAAGGCATAATGAGTTTAAAGGCTTAGAAGAGTAATGTTAGCTAGTACTATTACTATGCCTTGTGACTTTTTTTTTTTTTTGCCTGTTTTTCTTCATTTCCCTGTCCCTAGACTTGGCATACAGAGGGACAGACAACTTAATAGAACGAAGAGATGTTTTCACCAGAGGGCATGTTCATGTGTCATTCAATCTTCCAACAAATGCGTTTTGAGACATTATCCTGGGTGCCTGGGATCCACTGGTGAAGAAGTTAGACTCATCACTGCCCTCACGCAGTCTACTTTTCTCTTTTCTAGAATTTTCCTGCATCTTCTACTGTATGATCTATTTTATAATCAATGTATCTTCAAGGAATATTTGTATATTACACCTTTGTTGAATATACATATTAGCATATAATTTAAAATTACACAGCATAAAGTGTCACCCCCTAAAAAAGCAGGTCCTTTCCTTATTTGGAATGTCCTAGTTATCCTCACGAAATGACTATACATACTTGATTTGTTTAATGTCTCACTACTGAGATAAATATATGGAAGACATCTAAGCTTCCCAGCCTTACACAATGATGAGGGGAAAGAGAGAATGAGAAGATGCGGGACAAATCAGAGGCTTCCAGCCTCAGAGATGTCTAGAGAAAAGGGTGTGCATGAAGGGGATGGGACCAGGAGGAATTGGACTGAAGGAGTCAATAATAAGTATTAATGATAATAATAAGTATTGCTGAAAAAGAAAGTACAGGCTATTAAACACATTTCCTGAAAATTTATTGAGAACATCTATGTACAGAGCAAGTTAGAAACCAGCCAGGTGCTAGGAGTCCAATGAAGGCAGGGGCAGGGAGCACAACAGTGATTTTACAAGGGTGCACATGACTAGCGCAGCTGTCTACAGCCCTCAGAGGTCCTTTATGTAAAATATAAAGAACCAATTCTGTGGCCCGGGCCTCTCAAAGTTTTCTTTAGGTTTGGAATGAGGCTGTTCCATCTTTTACTGATGCCACCTCGGAGTTAAGGTTGCTAATTTGTCTCTACCAGACTATTCCTCTCTTGTATATGGTTTCTGTGTCATTGTCTTGAACATACACAGTCTCAAATTCAAGTGCACTGACCTTATTCTGGACCATTCCATATCCGCTTGGGACATCTGCATGCCAAGAAAGCTTCGGGGTGATTAGTGTCCTGCTCTTGTAATCCAGATCTTTCTCTCAACTGGGAGTGGAAAGGGTCCTCAGTCTCCTTCAGGTCATCCCATTGTCAAAATGACAGCTGTGCCTTCACAGCTGTGCTTCCAGCCAGGTGAAACATCATCATGAAGCTTGGGTTTCATCAAAACCCTTCACCAGTCACCAGCGAAACTGCTATCTAAGTCCATTTGGGCAGATGGTCTCCATTGCTTGTTCCAAGGCTTGTAGAAGGACCAGACAGACCAGACATTGCATGTGTGTCTGTTGGTTGAGATCTTTCTTTTTTTCCCTCTGAGTATTTGACTCATCATCTGAGTCAGTTTTTCAAGAATAGACTGGGGGCTCCCCTGACACAGTCCAGCACTTTCCTGCTGTACTCAGTGCTCTCTGGTAAGGCTTATTCAGAGCTTAATGGGCAGGTGGATTTTCCTCAATAGTAGCAACAGCCCAGATGGGAGTGGTTCTAGGATCCAGGTTGGTTCCATCGCCGAGGTGCCTAATTTCCCACAATTATGGTTGGCTGCTCATTCTTGCCTGTATAGAAGGCTACTATTTCCCTTACTGACCTTGAAACAGAGGGAAAAGTACTCCATAACAGGAGTAGACTTCTAGAGCATAGTAATCACATGATTATATTATACCAAAATATTAATACTAACACTATAAAGTCATAGTATGTAACTCCCCCCTGACTGAAGAGGTAGTTGCTCAGTCTCAGGCAGACAAGATGAAATGAGGCACCACCTTAGAATTCAAAGTAGATAAAAGCCAGAATTCTAGGGACTGGGAGTTCTCTATGAAAACATGACATACAATTAAGAGAGGAACCCAATATGAAGCAGAAGGCATTGGTCCTAACCATTTTCCCAAGACCAGGACTGACCTAGGGGAGCTCGGCCCACAGTGTGCTCAGAAATTATAAGAAGCAGTTGGACAAGTAAGATCTGCTCTGGGCATAAGGAACAGAGCTAGCACTACAGCGAGACTGTGTCACTTAGAGTCCTGGAGCTCCCACTACTACCAGTGGTAATATTTTCTTGCCTTCTGGGAGAAATATAAAAGGCTGACCAAAAACTTGCAGAAGAAAGTGTATAAAAAGTGGATATGAATATAGATTTTACTCTTTAATTAAAAATGTGCAGCACTTTTGTCACTTGAGGGCGTCTTCAAACGATGAACACACTTGGCTGCTTTGCCGAATTTTTCAGGTTCATGGATTTTTACTCTGAAAATTAAAAAACAAAAACAAAGGATTGTGTCAGATTTCAGAGGACAGCCACTTTCTTTTCCTAGATTTCAGTAATATAGCAGAAGATAGAAGGCCATTGTAATAGGAAGGAAGAGAAACCAATCATTGAAAGAGATGGAGAAGGTAGGATAAAAGAATTTTGGTCTACGCTGTCACCCACACAGCGATCCTGGTCTTGCCCCAGTCCTGTGCTGATTCCAGCAGCCTTCCCTCTGCAGATTCTTCCAGATCATTTCAGAGCTGAATCTCACAGAATGGCTATGAATTTACCATCCTGGCTCGCCAAGCAGAAATTCTGAATTAGTCACAGTAGCTGGTGTCTTCAGGTAAGTGCAGGAGACTCTGATGGCCTGTGTACCTTGGGGTTGTCACTCTGTCTCTGTGACCAGGTTTCTGACTAAGGATTGCTTTGATCCCAAGACTATGTGCTCAGAGCCTTGATATTCTTGTAAATCCAGATTCTCAGAGGAGATGGAAGCACAGGCAATCTGGTTGTATCACATTATGAAAGGACTGAGCCTCAGGAGCCTTTGTGTATCTTTCATGCATACATTCATTCTTTTAACAAATATTTACAGAATGCCAACCACAGGTCAGGCACTATGCTTTGTGCTGGAAGCACAATGATGAGCCTACTGCCTTCCATGCAGCTTAGTTTAGACTAGTTAATAGAATTTAATAAGGTAACTACACAAATCTCAAGTGTAGTCTACTGTTATGAAGCAAAAGTCCAGGGATGTATTTGACACTGAACCAAGAGGGCAAGATCAAGTTTGGGGAAGCATTTTAAAGAAAGCTCTAGTTGAGGTGAGGTTTGCAGAGTGAGGTGAGGAAGAGGCAGAAGAACATTTCAAGCAGAAGACACCAGGACTGAAGGGAACATATCGCCATTCTACCTCCTTTGGTTTATTCATTCCACACACATAGGCTGCCCACACATGTAGGATGCACACTGTGCCAGGGACTGGGGCAATGACGGTGATGCTCACCACATCAGAACCCTTCAGTATTGGTGTTTACTTGACCATGACTTAGCTTAACCATGGTCTCTGGGTATTGTGCATTGGATATTCTGCCACCCATTTATGAACAGGCCTTTTCCCTCCAGACCCTATCTGGCCTCACTTTCCTTTCCCTCCCTATTAGCTGATATTTGCTGAGGTCTCAGCATTCCTCCAGCTCCAGCCTATTCAACTTCTAGACACTCTGGGGCATCAAACCTCTCAAAATGTCGCAGGGGCTGGACTCACCTTTCCTCCACATGCTCATTCTCTGCCTTATCCATTTTGATGGTTTCTGAAAGAGACCAAAAGCAATCTCAGAGAATGTATTCTCCATTGACACTAAAGGAGGGAAAGTTTGAAGAGAGTCTGAAGTCCTAGGACTCAGGGAGAAACTGTTGTGACCTTATTTATGGAAGAGATGGTTACTGAAGTGGAACTTCAGGGTGATGCAGAGGGAGTTCCTTGCATCCAAATGTAAAGACCATCTCTTGCTCACTGTACCTTAAGTTCCAATGTTATAAATAAATTTTTCACTTATGGCTCTATCCTTGCTAAAATAAAAATACTACTGGGAGATATAAAGTATTTAGTTTCAGCAATTATTTAGTGATTGAAAAAGAGTCTTTGGAAGCATAGTTGAGGAGGGGGAGGAAAGGAAATCTTAAAGATTCAAACGCCTAAATGGGTTAGCAAGACAGTGTTACCAAGTACTACCCACTGCTGCAGGTGTGCCCCAAGTGGGAAATCTCTAGCAAGCTAGACCTCCCAAACCCCAAGTTGCTATTAGCATTGGTTTATGACTGATATGAGGGGTATAAGTTTCTTTAGGTTAACTGTTGTGTTTGTGTTATTGTCTCAGAGCATCCATGAGGGTTTTAACCTGGATGTCCATTTAGGGGCAACAGGCACCCTCAACGACACCCCCATGATGGTTTTGTGATTCAATCCTTACTAAATAAACTCTTCTTGAACTCTTCTTATCAATGGTGGTTCTCTTTTATGAATGTGTTATATTTAAAAACAATCAGCTTTATGGAGATATAATTAACAAATAATAAAATTTAATCATTTTCAGTTTAGTTTGGTAACTTTAAAAAATGTATACATTTGTTAAAATAACACCACAGTCAAGACAGAAAATTTATATAAGCCTCCAAATTTCCCTTTGCCCCCTTTCAATCAGCCCCTTTCCCCTACCCCATTTCCTAACCATCTGCTTAATGTTATGACAGTTTTGCTTTCACTCAATTTTCACATAAATGTGATCATATAATGAGTAGTCTGGTGTCTGGCTTCTTTCACTTAGAATAATGTTCCTGAAATTCTTCTGGGTTGCATATGATCCTTTCCTTTCTACAACTTAGCAGTATTTTGTTGTATAAACTATACCTCCATTTGTTCATCTGTTAGCTGGGGAAAATTTAGTATTATTATTAGGAAGAAAGTTGCAATTAACATGTGTATATCTGTCTGTATGTAGACACATGGCTTTATTTCTCCTGGGTAAATGTCTGGGATTGCTGAGTTATGTCTTAATGCCTAAGAGTTTCAGTTGCATTACATCTTCTCCAGCACTTTCGATTTTGGCTATTCTAGTGAGTGTGTAGTGGGATCTCAATATAGTTTTAATTTGTACTTCCCTAATGACTAATGATGTTGTGACTGTGCTTACTGGCCATTTATATACCTTTTTTTTTTTTTTTTTGAAAACCATATGTGCAAGTCTTTTACTTCCTGCCTTTTGTTAAATGGATTGAATTCTTATTAATAAGGAGTGTTACATTAATAATTATATATTCTGGATACATGTCCATTATCTCATATAACTTTTGAAAGCATTTTCTTCAAGTCTGTGGCTTGACATCATTTTCTTAATGAAATCTAAATACACTATTATCTTTTTAGAAAATGGTTTATGCTTTCTGTGTCCTCAAAAATTTGCCCAATCTGAAGTCACAAAGATCTTCTACTATCTTTTCTTCAGAGTCTTTTGATTCTAGCTAGTAATAGACCTAGAACCCACTTTAATTATTTTTTGTTTCTGTGTGTAGGTTCATGTTTTTCCTTGAGGATATCTAATGGTAAATATCTGACTTTTATCATTTATTGAAAAAAACTATCCTTTCTGTATAGAATTACCTTGGTGCCTTTTCCACAGTCAGTTAATCATGTGAGTTGCTTTCACTGTTCTATCTGTCCCTTCACCAATATCCCAGTTACACTCTAAGTGTAACGTAAATCATGGAGTTGGGTAATGTCAGTCTTTCGTTTTTACTGTTATTTTTCAGAATTTCTCTGCAATTGTAAGTTCTTTGCATTTCCACATAACTTTTAGAATTAATTTTTAAATTCCTATTAATGATCCTGCTAGATTTTGACTGGGATTGCTTTGAATTCACAGGCAAATTTGGGGAGAATTGACATCTTCACAGTATTTTGTCATCTGACCCATGAACATGGCATATATATCTATTTATTTAAGTCTACTTTAATTTCTGTCAGTAGTAATATTAGGTAGTTTTCAGTATTCAGGTCTCATTTTGTTACATTTACTCATAAGGCTCTAGTGTTCTTCGATGCTACTGTAAATAGTGTTTAAACATATTTTCATTGTCTAATTGCTTGTTGTTAGTATGTAGAAATACAGTTGATCTTCATTGTGTGTTTTGACCTGTGTCCTGTGATTTTGTTACATTCACTTATTAGTTCCCAAAGTTTTCTTAACTGTGAAAAAAAAAAGAGTTTTACTTTTTCCTTTCCAATTTGTCTACCTTTTATTTCTTTTTCTCTTCTTGTTGCATTGGCTGGGGCCTGCAGTAAAACACTAAGCAAAAGCAATGAGAATGGACATCTTGCTTTATTCCCAGTCTGGGGGAAAGTGATCTTTCATCATTAAATATGATGCTAATGAAAGAGTTTTGGTAGCTGTCCTTTAACAGGCTAAGGAGAGCTCCCTGTATTCCTACTTTCATGAAATTTTTTTGGACATGATACTATGGTATTCTTTTTAGTTGTTAATATGGTGAATTTTATGCTTGTTTGAATATTGGATTTATCCATGTTCCTGGAGTAAGTCCATTTTCAGTGGTTAATTTTGTTAAGGATTTTGTACCTCTGTTCATCCAAGGACATTTGTCGTTTTCTTGTAATGTCTTTCTCTAATTTTGGTATCAGAGCTCCTTCTACCTTCCAGTAGCCTGGACATTGACTCCAGACAGTGATTTAGAGACAATCATATTGCTCACCTCATTTTCCCTGCTTCTGTCAGGGACCAAGATTTTTCATGCTTGATATTCAGGGTCAGGAAAGGGTTGTTTCATGTATTTTGTCAGTTTCTAGCTGTTCATGGTAAAAGAGAAATTCCTGTAGCAGTTAATCCTCCGTGGGAGGAAGCAGAACTCTATTGCTTCCACACAATTTTATGGTATGCATGGTAATTAGGCTATGGGGCATCACCTTCAGAAAGGGGGTGAGTTAGGTCTCCCAGGACTGGACTGATCACAAGAGTGAGTTGTTATATAGCCTGACACCTCTCCTCAGGCTCTCTCTTTCACATGTGCTCTTCCACATACAGAGGCACTCATGTGTGTTGCCACCATGAGACGCTATCCTTCCAACCCATGATGCCATTCTTCTGACATATGTATCACCCTTCTGACATGCCATGCCATCCTTCTGACACATGATGCCATCTTTGTGACATGCAGTGCCATCCTTCCAACATGTAATGCCATTGATGGCATCCTTCTGACACGTGCTGCTATCTGGCATGCTATGGTGCAGCATGAGGCCCTTACCAGAGTTGGCCACCTGCGCTTAGACTTTTCAGTCTCCAAAACTTGAGCCAAAATAAAAGTCTTTTCCTTCAAAAGTACCCATTCTCAGATATTTTATTAGTGCAACGCAAAACAGATTAGGATCCTAGAGCCATTTCTTATTTGTCTGAGCTCCCTGACACTTTATAAATCTGGTTAGGTTTCATTTTTGTCAAATTTTTTTCTAAAAATGATAGCACTTAGAACTGGATTCAATATTACAGATATCTTTAACCAACATAGAATAATGAAATTATCTTCTATATGCATGACAAAATCACCACTATTAAAAAAAACTTTCTATTTAAAAATGAAAGCAGATTCTAAATGTTTGGGTTTGGTTCCAAATTTAGCATTTTAAAGGGAAAATGTGGTGAAATCACCAAGTTTCAGTTTTTAAACCCCAGGACATTTTCTGTTTAAATGTTGATTTAATGAGATTTGTATTGGAAAAGAAGTCTTATCTGAAAGAGCTGAGACTCTTCCAGGCTTGCTCTAGGGAGGCAACTTGTAAAAATGCTGGTTGCTATGCTAGCAACCTGTGACACCAGCATCCCATATAAATACTGGTTTGAATCCCAATTGTTCCATGTCAGATCCAGCTCCCTGCTAGTATGCCTGGGAAAGCAGTGCAGCCTGGGAAAGCAGTGGATGGCCCCTGCCACTCATGTGGAGGACTTGGATGGAGTTCCCAGCTCCTGGCTTTTGCCTGGAGCAGCTCTGGTTGTTGGCAACCATTTGTGGAGTGAACCAGTAGTCTCTTTGTCTCTCCTTCTGTCTCTGTAATTCTGCCTTATAAAACATAAATAAATAAATCTTTTTTTAAAAAAAGTTCAGATTTTAGTCACACATGGACCAAATGGGGAAATAAAATTTTAGAAGGAGCTATTTTAGTCTTCCTCCCCACTGGGTAAACTAATGGGGTACCTTCTGATTGGACCAAAGCAAACAATTCATAGTTATGATATCTTTGCCTTATCTGTCCTATTTGATTACAAAAAAAAAAAAAAAAAAAGAGAGAGAGAAGAGAAATTAGAAACCATCTAGAATAACCATGACATTGTTCTTCATTTAAAAATTTAAAAAGCCTAATTAAGGCAAATCTGTTTAGGAGGAGTTGAGACATAAAAAAAGAAAAACTATAATTAACGAGCAAACACTGGGCAGGACTTTTGATGTCACATTAGTTAGTTTGAGGGCTAGCTCCTCTGAGAAAAAGGCTAATGTTGGATTAGGAGGAAGTTCTAGTTTGGGGGAAATTCCAAGTGGTTATCGGCAAGCTTTGTCTCTGTGGCTGGGCTGTGACTGCTTCCATATCTGTCTGTTGGCAGAATTCAGTTCTGGTGGTTGTGGTCCTGAGATCCCAGCTCCCAGCTGGGCGGCGGGGTGGTTGTCAGTAGGGTGCCATCCCCAGCTTCTGAGGCTGCCTACTTGTCTCGGCTCATGGCCTCCCTCCTCCTTCTCCAAAGCCAGCCAAGCTACAGGCCTCTCCTACTTCTTCCAGCTCATGGAATGCATGGAGTGTTCAAGAAGTTCGAGGAAAATGCATGTTATAAAAATACTACACAGAGGCCGGCGCCGCGGCTCACTAGGCTAATCCTCCGCCTAGCGGCGCCGGCACACTGGGTTCTAGTCCCGGTCGGGGCACCGGATTCTGTCCTGGTTGCCCCTCTTCCAGTCCAGCTCTCTGCTGTGGCCAGGGAGTGCAGTGGAGGATGGGCCAAGTGCTTGGGCCCTGCACCCCATGGGAGACCAGGAAAAGCACCTGGCTCCTGGCTCCTGCCATCGGATCAGCGCGGCGCGCCAGCCGCGGCAGCCATTGGAGGGTGAACCAACGGCAAAAGGAAGACCTTTCTCTCTGTCTCTCTCTCTCACTGTCCACTCTGCCTGTCAAAAAAAAAAAAAAAATACTACACAGGATAGGCATTTGCTTCAGCAGTTCAGACACTGCTTGGGATGCCCACATCTCATACTGGAGTGCCTGGTTTGAGTCTTGGCTACTCCATTCCTGATTCAGCTTCCTGCTAATGTGCACCCTGGGAAGCAGTGGATAATGGATCAAGTTCATGGGTCCCTGCCACTCACATAGGAGACCTGGACTGAGTTTCAGACTCCTGCCTTTGCCTGCCCAAGCTCTGCAGTTGGGGGCATTTGGGGGTGAACCAGTAAATGGAAGATCTCTCTGTGTCTGTCTCTGCCTTTCAAATAAAGTGAAAATAAGTAAATAAATAAAAATGTAAAACTAGACATGGTTTCAAAATTTCCTTGTAGCTGGATAAACTTATCTTTTAATTCCATTTCTCCATAAATGTTTTGAAGTAATCTCTTATGTGCTATTTTCTCTGTTGTCTTCTGACTTCTAAGACTTATAGCTTCATCTGACCACCTCATGTACACGTACAAACATAGCTTCTTTATTTCCCTTTCAACTTCTCTCAGACACAGCTCCTTTAGTTCACTCAACTAAAATCCCAATTTTTTTTCCGATTGCCTTGTGGGAGAAGAAACATTCTTACTCCTTTTCCCTTTTCCGGATCTTTTTTTTTTCTTTGTTTCAATTATTAACTGATCCTTCTCAGATGAAAGCAAATTCAGGAAACAGTTTACCTCCAAGTTGAAAGCTACTTCTGCAAACCTGACTCATTTCAAATGGCGGTGAGATTAAAAGAAAGAGAAGCTCAGAACTCCTCCCCTGAGGAAGTGTCTCCACATCTGAACCTGTGCTCTCAATGTCTGTGCTTTTACATCCTAGAAATCCCTCTGCTTACTCCAGACGTTGGCAGTTCAAATGACTCTGTCATGTTTTGGTTTTTGAAACAATTTATTTATTTATTTTTATTTTTTGACAGGCAGAGTGGACAGTGAGAGAGAGAGAGACAGAGAGAAAGGTCTTCCTTTGCTGTTGGTTCACCCTCCAATGGCTGCCGCGGCCAGCACGCTGCGGCCGGCGCACCGCGCTGATCTGATGGCAGGAGCCAGGAGCCAGGTGCTTTTCCTGGTCTCCCATGGGGTGCAGGGCCCAAGCACCTGGGCCATCCTCCACTGCACTCCCTGGCCACAGCAGAGAGCTGGCCTGGAAGAGGGGCAACCGGGACAGAATCCGGCACCCCAACCGGGACTAGAACCTGGTGTGCCGGCGCCGCTAGGCGGAGGATTAGCCTAGTGAGCCGCGGCGCCGGCCTGAAACAATTTATTAAAATTTGTTAGTTGTTCTCCAATGTCCTGCTTTTAAAACATAGCATGATGAAAAGTGACTGCTAGTGTTATCCACTGATTTTCTAAATAGCTCCTAAAGTGAATCCACTGCAGCCTTAGACGAGCTCTGACCGAAACTGTTACTCATCCACGCTTTCCACCACAAGTGACTGAGAACATGACCTTAATTAGTCACATCAACCAAACTCACCACTGCTGGGGGCAATCTTATCCTAGAACTTTACCTAAATTAGCCCAAGCCACAGATAAGCATGGGATTATTATAGGAACTACTTTGTCCTAATCACACACCTTTACAACAGAAGTCAGCAGGCAGTCTGTTCAATGCAATGCTGTGTGTAACAGCAAAACCATCAGGACCAAGCGTCCAACACTAAGGTTGGTTAAATCAATCAATCAAGTGTGTTCACCTAATGCAATGTCTTGTGGACATTTAACATGATGTTGCTGATTGACATTTATGAAATTGAAAATTGTCCCACTATGTTCAGTATAACAAAGTTAAAGGCCAGCTCACATAATTCTCCAAGTCGTGAAAAATAAACCTTGTACTATTATCCAAATTATGGAAAAATAACATAGCTTTATACATAGAAAAATCTGGAAAAGATATACCAAAAATATTGTCTGCATAATTGTGGTGCTTGTACTAGAAAAAATTATAGGTGATTTTTATTTTTGGTATATTTGATAATGGATAAATGGTACGTGGTAACCAGGGAGAGTTAGTGTCATTTTTCTGTAAGCCAATAGGGAACAATACATCTAACTCACTTCGCAGGAAACCCTAGAGATGAGAAGGTGAACTTGGTGGTCCTCCGCAAGCAACCCTGCCCGGACACTTCCAGGTCCGTAATGGCTAACAAGAAGTATCTTCACGTTTCCCTTAACCCAGCTGTCACAGGAACCTCAGGAAGTGAGGTCGGCACAGCAAGGGAGGGGTCAGCTCAGCCTGGAAACCGGAAGTCCGTCTGTAAACCCTGGGTCTGAAAGGCTGTCTTGCTTAGAAGCCCAGAAGAACACCTGCTGGGTGCTGCCTGCAGAGGCCCCCAACCCCGAGGGAAACCCTTTTCTCCAGCAACCTGCTGACTTCTTGCCAGCCTGGGCTCAGGCAAAGGACTCCGAAGGCAGCCAATGGAGGAGCAGCTGAAAGCGACAGTGTGCAGACAGCACAAAGCCTGACTCACCACACTCACAGACGACACCAGGCTGCTGCTCCTTCTTCCTCTTCCACAGTGTTAGAAACAACACAATCCCACACACAACGATCAGGGTGAGAGCCACAGCTGCAATCCAGAGCCTTGGTTTTTCCACTGGCACGGGGTCCGCAGGCACTAGAAATGACCACAGGCTTCAATCAGCCCAGAAGGACTTTTCCATTCCCGCACCACCCCATCCCAACCCCAACTCTGGCCCCTGGAGTTCTGGGGCCAGAAGAAACTGAAATCCACAATATGAGGTCACAGAAAGTCTCCATCACAGGGCCTCGGCAGCTAAGAACGAAGCCAGTGCCTCTGACCAAACGCCTGACCTGAGCTGCCTTCCCGTCTCCCCAGGGGAAATGACACTGACCATGACTTGGAAGGAGAGAGTCAGCCTGGCCTGCGGCTCTGGGAGCTGGGGCAGGTGTCTGTGCTGGGGCTTTCAATGAACAGTCACCAGGACGACACCCCACTAATCCTGCCCCATGTGTAGTCGGTCTCCAGGCCCAGACGCCTCCATCCACCCTCACCTCCAGATCAGGCTCCAGACACACGGAACAGCCTCCTTGGAAGCTCCTGTCTCCAGGTTTTGTTTGCTTGTTTGGTTACTGTTGCTGTTTGTCACTGAGGTCACTACCAGCTTCCTCAGCATTGCTTTCACCATGTCTCACCTATGAGAACTGCTTTGATATTTCTTCAGGCCCTTAGGTATCAGGGTCAGAATCAGCTCCCTGGAGGTCAAGGTCACTTCCATGCATGGGAAGTCCTAAGCTTCTGGGAAGCTGAAAATCAGCCTTTGTGGGGAAAACTTAGAACTGAGTGATCCACTTTACAGACATCCTTGGGAACAGGTCCTAAACAGGACAAATAGGAGCTGCTGACTTCCTGTCAGCTTAGCTACAATTTGTGGCCTCACACCCTGTACCTAGGACTTTAAGAAAAGGAGTTGTCGGCATTGTAGACCATATTTAATACCAGTGGGGGCTCCCTCTTGAGCCTGTTTGGCATTGCCTATAAAGGGAGTTTATACTGGTTACATGGAGACTGGTACCCTTGACATCCAACAAGGGGCGTCAACTGCGAGTCTAACTTATCTCTGATCAGGCAGAGGGACACACATGGGCAAGCCCCATCTCTCCGAGGTAGTTAGAACAGAAACATTTCTGAAGGTGGTGGCGCCTGGGGAGGTTTGCCAGCAGCAGTGGAGGAGCAGGAGAAAGGAGAGCTTTGATGAGGCCAGAGTCTTGGCAGGCCCCCGTGCAACTGTCCGTCACTGCAGTCAAATGGAGGGCCCCAGGGCATGTCATGGGTAGTGATGTAGCGATGCTGGTGGCTACAAGAAGGCACTGAACTTCAGCTGTAGCTTTGAGAGGCTTCTATCCGGGCCAGGAGAGGCCGCAGCAGAACAGCCAGGACAGGCTGCGTGACTCCACCATATACCTGACTCTCAGAGGCTGAAGTGTCTGGGTGGAAAGGAAATCAGTATCAGGGGAGGGGATTGGCCCAGGTGTAAAACTGGTTGGCAAGAACTGGCCCAGGGCCTGTTCCTAGGAGTATATCCAAAGGCCAAGTGAAGTGTGAACAATGAGATGGCAGTAGTAGGGAAGCAACAAGACCAGGTTGGGGCAAAGGATTGGATGGATGTCCCAGGAGAGGGCAAAACAAAGAACCAGAGCTGGAGAAGGGGCCAGGGAAAGCACAAAGCAGTTGAGTTGGTGGGGGGGGGGGGACAGGAGGGGATGGGCAGTGTGGGCACAGAGGGCACTCCAGGAGGGAATCCTGCAGGTACTGCTCCTTCAAAACTATCTCAAAAACTCCATGAAAAAATAGAATTAAAGGATACATTTATTTTAGTACCAGCAATTTTTGAAATTCGTGTGTAGTTTTGCATAATACACAGTTTCATGAACTTTTAAAAGGTCCATTGTGAAGATGTGCGCCCCTGGTCTCAACCCTTTCCTTCAGCTGGACTGTAGCCCCTTGTGAACCTGCCACAGGCCTGTCGGGCTCTGACTGTGACACACTCCCTGCACTGGGGTGCGATGTGGCCCATCCGCTGTGGGTCCCTCACCAGCTGAGTCTTTGCAACATCCCAGCTTTTCCATTCAGCAAGTCACTACAGAACCTGTCATGCAGAATGCCCTTCCTCTGTTCACCACACTCATGAAGCCAAATAATTTCTTTCAGGCTGTGACAGGGTTCCCACTACCTTTAGGAAGCCTTCTCTAACCTTCAAGAATTTGCTTGCCTCTGAACACCCATGAAACTAACTATCAAGAGTGGTGGTGAGCCTAGCAGTTGGATCACCTGGAACCCACATTGGAGTGACTGGGTTTCATACCTGACTCCAGCTCCTGACTCCAGTTTCCTGCTAATGAAGAACCCTGGAAGGCAGCATGATTGCTCAACTACTTGGTTTCCTGCCACCCACATGGGAGACCTGGATTGAGTTCCCAGCTCCTAGCTTTGGCTTGGCCCAGGCCCAGCCATTGAAGACATTTAGGGCGTGAAAACTAGTAGATGGGAGGCCTCTGTCTCTCTCTCTCACTCTCTCTCTCTCTCCTTCTTAAGTAAATAAATTAATTAAATAAATAAAGCTATCAACCACTTTTGTTTGAAATTTAGCCCCATATTCCAAGGAATAGAATTTAGATTTTTTGAAAACTAATCTCCATGTGCATGCATCATAGAGTTCTCATTCTACCAGAAGATCTTCTACGGCAGTGAAGATGTCTTTTACCTTTTAGTTTTCATTCCTGAACCAACAACTTCCTAAGGATGGTTCTGTATTCATAAAAGTACTACCCATCTGTATGTACATATGCTTGCATGGTGCATGTGGGTGGGTACGTTAATCAATGGAAGTACTGTAGCCTAGAGGAAACCTGCAGTTTTTGACCAAAGCTTCAGAATACTTCATCCAAAGGTAACCCAAAAGACTGAGTCAGTTTCAGGGCTAAACGCTTGTTTCTTCAGGTGCAGAGCTTCTCAGCCTCCTGCCTGTGTGATTCGGATGCATTAGGTGCCCTTGGTCTAGGTATTGCCTTACAGCATCACCAAATGGCCCAGGTAGAGCCTTCTACTAAGCAGGACACACTGCATGATCTGCCTTAAGCATTTGGTATGACACCTGGTAAAAAGAAACCAGCTTTACCTATAGGGAAATGCTGGGAGTATGTCTCTGTGGACTCAGTTTGCAGGACACAGTAAATGGTTGCGTTTCTTATATCATCTGAGAATGTGATAGATCCGCTGATGGAAATGTTGTACAGTCCTGTGACATTATCTTGAGATTTCTGCATGACACCATCATACTCAGTGGTTGCATTCTCAGTTTTTAGCACAAAGAACATCTTCTTAGGTTCTGGGTAGCCTTGTACAGACGAGCAGGTCAAATTTATGGCAGAATTTCTTGTTATATTGGAAATTAATGTTATTTCCGGTTGAGTGAAATTAGCTGAAATAAGAATAGAGATCAAGACAAAACAAAACAAAACTCAGTCTAAATTCAGATCTGTTTAGAACAGAGAGTAACTAAGTACCTGAACTGGGAACTCATTGCGGGACACCTGGGAGCCTCATGGTTTCTGAATCATGGGCCTCAGCCCACAGTGAGAGCCACATAATAATGACTCCACATTTATTTTTCCAGTAATGGAGTTTTGAGTTATGCTCACTTCCTGCTTATCAAAGTTAAGAGGGTGCTGGAATGAAGTTAACAAAGACGTACAATGAAGCCACTATTCCAGGCTAGGGAGCCACTGGAAGAAGTGATCCAAGCCTGGGATCCAAGTATACTATGGGAAAACTTCCAGCTCACCAGAGCAGAGGGGAACAGAGCTGAAGTCCCACCAGGAGCAGAGTTCATAGTCGTGGAACGCTCCGGGTCTTATCTTTCAGAAACCCAAGCAGGATGGTGCTGGGTGGGTGGGTAGAGATTTTGGATTTGGAAGTTCAAAATCCGTTTTGGGGCCTGACTGTCCAGGTGTTTTCACCACATTCTGTGTAAGAAGAAGGCCAAATCCATCTATTTAGGGAACAAACTGATTTTGAAAACCTCAGTGCCTGTTTGCCAATTATATTTTTGTGGCTGTAACTGGCATCTAATGCCTATCATGAGGCTGCTTCAAAAAGCCCATGGAAGATGTATGCCATGGAGAAAACATGCATGGTTTCAAAAATCTTTTGCACTAACATAAACATATCTTTTAATCCTGTGAACATTTTGAAGTAACCACATAGCCCTTGCCAGTCAAATCCTTGCTCTTCTTCTGTAGTTACTGAATAGTTTTCAGGCTCTACATATTCATTTATAATATGGTAGACTGTTCCTAACATGTTAGTCATTTGCTTGTCATCTTTCCAAGTTCTCCTGTATCAATATTCCACTGAGCACTCCGTTTAGACTTCATATGGACTGTAGAAGTGGATTATTTAGACTTACTAGTAATATCGGTGAAATCAGTTTGGATAAATTATTTATAGTTTTTCTAATACATATTAAAAAGAAATAGAAAACTTTAAAAAAAAAAACCTGCTTGTTTATGTTGCACAATATGTTCACAGTGTGTTCTTCCAGGAACCAAAGGTACCTGGCCACACTGGAAAGCACTGATTAGCAGTGGGTTAAATGTCTGGAAAGCCCTGTAACCCAGTTTGAATAACACGGTGAGGGCAGCCCTCCAGTCTGTTTCTACTTTTGCTTCTGCTTTACTCTGTGGTTTTGCAATAGGTATTGACCTGTCTTACCGGGTTCTATGAAAAGTTAATCTGGATTCAGTAATACCGCATCTGAGTAGCCGCCCTAGAGATATGAGGACTGAAGTTCATACACAAACCTGTACGTGAATGCTTACCGTGACTCTATGCCTAATATCCCCAACCTGGAAGCAACCCATTGTCTTTCAATGGGTTGAAGGGACAGACCATAGAATGCTACTTGGCAATAAAAAAAGAACAAACTTCTGATACATGTAACAGCTTGGATGAAACTCAAAGGTGTTTGAATGAAAGCAGCAGTCCTCAGAAGGTTACATACTCTATGGTTCCAATTACCTGACATTCTCAAAACAATAGGATGCAAAAGAAGAGCTATGCCTGCAGAGAGAATATGATTTTATAAAGGCATAACAAGAGGGAATATTTTAGGGTAGTGGGATGTTCTGTATTCTCTTTATGGTGGTGGTTAGATAAATCTACATATAATCTATAAAATGAATGACTTTACATTAAAACTAAAATACTAATTCTACTGTATGATGATAACAACAGCAACAAAAAATCTGGGGCCTAGCATTTGGCACAGTTAAGCTGCTACTTGGGACACCTGCTTCCCATATCGGAATGCCTAGGTTCAAATCCAAGCTCCACTCCTGATCCCAGCTTCCTGCTAATGCATACCTTGGAAAACAGCAAAGGATGGCTCAAGTGGTTGAGTCCCTGCCACCCACATAGGAGAACTGGATGGAGTTCTGGTTCCTAGCTTTAGCCTAGCCCAACCTTGGCTGTTAGAAACATTGGGGAATGACCAATGTATAGGGGAATCTATCTCTGTCTCTGTCTCTGTCTGTCTCTGTCTCTCTCCCTCTCTCACCATCTCTCTGCCTTTCAAATAATAGTAATCTGTAGTGACCATTGGGCTTGTGAAGACCTGGTGAGCAGAGGAGCTGGTTGGTCAGCTCATGGGTTGTTTGTCAGGTCATTTCCCTTCTGTCTAGTGGGCTCATCAGCAAACCACTCATAAGCAACCTCTAGGAGGCTGAAGGGGAAAACCCAGATCAGTCAGCTGTCTCCCTTGCTAGGTGCTCTAGGCAAAGATTTAGTGGGTGAGAAATCTTGGACCATAGCAGAAAATGAATGTAAAAGATTTGAGGCCTCTGTGGTTACATAAACTTGTCTATGACCAAAATACCCATGGTTTTCACTTAACCACATTACCTTTGTTCAATCAGCTCTATTTTGTCCCCAGAGTAGATTCTTATGGATCCTTCAGAAGCAAACTATCAAAAGTGTGAGGACTTTCAGTTCCCTGCTCCCATACCCCTGAATTCCTTTCAAACGTACTTCCCAGAAGTGGTTGTCCTCTGCCTGCTCTCGCTTGGCCCCCTCCCCTCGTCCCTTACGCCCACCCCTCCATTTCACTACCCACTTGTAATCTCATCTGAGAAGGTCAAGGGTCTGAACACACCACATACCAAGCACTGACAGCTCAGAATTCATCTGGTAGATGGGAACCAGCCCTTTGGCCCCTCTGTGATGGACAAAACATTGATACACGCCCTTGTCCTTGATCTGAACGTTGTGAAGTTGTAGGTTCCAACTTTCCTGGTCAAAGCTTGTGCGGCCAATGTACTTAGGATCCACATTGTCAGGTTTCTCTCTGCCTAAGAAGAGCTCGTACAGAACCAACCTCTCCTGGTCCTGCCAAAATACTACCAGCTCACTTAGGCTTCTGCTTTGAGAGTTTGTAAACTGGCATGGCAGGTCTGCAGTCTTGTTGAAATAAGCCTGTATCCTAAGGGAAGCAGCACCTAAGAAAGAAAGATGGGGATTAGAGAACGAGGAACAAGAGGAAAGAAAAAAAAAAAAAACACATAAAAAGCAAAATTCCATTTCTCTTTCTACCAACCCCCAGATGCCGTCTTGTCAGTTATGGCAGTGAAGAAGTACAGATGAAGCTCTGGAAGTGTGCCATAGATGCTGGGCACCTGGAGGGTAGGGCTGAAGTTCAAGTTCACGGTTAACTAAATGTGTAGACTTGTGAACACCACAATCATTACAAGCCTCAGCTTGCTCATGTGTTTAATGAAAGTGTGGATTAAATGTTCAAAGGGTCTTTCTAGTACTATGGTTCTACAAATTGAAATCTTAGGAAAGGGAAAACCAGCAGAATTAGAAACCCATTCAGCCACCGTCGTCTATAACCTGGATCTTGATTCTCCCTGCAGCACTTGTTCCAACCCTCTAACTTGTATACCATCACCCAAAGCTCTGCCTTTACCTCCTTAACCCCTTATTTCTTGGTCTGCTATGGTGAAAAGATTGTTGACAATAACAGCAATACATTCGATGCCACCCTTTTTATTATGCCTCATTGGTTGGTGGTCACAGAGGTAGTATCTTTGAAATCCAAATACTTCTCCCTAAAAGCCTCCTTTCCCAGCTCCCTCATGGACATGAAACAGTTTGGAAATGACTTGAAGAGGCCACCACGGCTGCTATTCTTGACAGCCTCTCTAAGCTCTTTCAGGGATCAGAAAGAGAACTAGGCAAATAGAAGGGTTGTCTTGGGACTGTCAGAGGCCACTTAAGACGCATGAATGAAATGCTGGCAGTGAGTCATAGACAGGAAGGTGAGGATGTGTCTGGGAGGACTGGGGAAGCCACAGGCACCACAAACTTGCTTCTCCCAGGATGCACAGCCCTTGGGAACTTTTCCAATCCCTAGAGAACATGCTGGAAGAGTTCAGAGAAAGGCTTTGGTCCCCAACAGCTTACTGAGGTTTGTGGGGGGTGGGATTTGGGTCACCCATTTCCTTAAATGTGATTGATAACCTATTTGGGGATTTGGGGGGCCTTTTCCGGGTCACAGAACCATGAGAGACTTGATCAAAAAAGCAAGTAGTGGTGCGTGAGAAGTGCAGGGTAGGGAGGCAGGAGTGCCTTAGTTAATTTGAAGTTAGATATCGCCTTGGGGAGGAAATTGGAGTAGGTTCTAAACAAAGTTTCATGATTCAGGATTTCAAGCAAAGGGCTGTTGTCTTGAAGGAGAAACCGGCGCACGGGGGGTGGGGTGGGGGGTGGGGGTGGCAGGGGGCTGGTTGGTGGGGAGGGATGAGAGAGCTTCTTTTGAAGTGCCCTGCAAGGGAGAGAAATGAAATTGATCTGATCAAGGGTTCCTCTTCAAAGAAGGAAGAGGAGAGCAAGGAACAGTGACGTGAACTTCGGAAAACTGAACCCATGAGAGCACACAACCAAGGGGGCTTGACGCTGGGCTTGAACTCCAGGGGAAGAGGCTTCAGGGAGAGTTGGCCCCAGTTGGACTCACTGCCTATTATAGTGCATTACACTCACCAGAACTTCGTGAGGCACTTGAAACACAAAACCCATCGTTTGTATAGGATGTCTGTCTATATGGGAAGGAGGAGAAAAGCCCTATGTGGGAAGCCAGAACAATAAAAGGGGGTTGCAAGGAAGATTTACTGCATGTGGTAGTTATCTCACAAGGCAAACCTGGGGTTTCGGCTGCACCTTTGCTAAACTTAATGACAACACAACAGTGCCACCTGCTGTAAACACTTGGCGCGCTGCTCTGGGGGAACACTGGTTGGCGCCTAATACACTCTGTGATAGGGAAAGGGATCTACTGGAGAAAGCAAACCAGTTGAAAATTCTGCCCGGTGGCTGGTGCTGTGGCTCACTAGGCTAATCCTCCGCCTGTGGTGCCAGCACCCCGGGTTCTAGTCCCGGTTGGGGCACCGGATTCTGTCCCGGTTGCTCCTCTCCCAGTCCAGCTCTCTGCTGTGGCCCAGGAAGGCAGTGGAGGATGGCCCAAGTGCTTGGGCTCTGCACCCGCATGGGAGACCAGGAGAAGCACCTGGCTCCTGGCTTCGGATCTGCGCAGCGCGCTGGCCGTAGTGGCCACTTGGGGGGGGGGTGAACCACTTGTGGGGGGTGAACCAATGGAAAAAGGAAGACCTTTCACGCATGCGCTCTCTCTCTCACTGTCTAACTCTGCCTTTTGGGAAAAAAAAAAAAAAAAAGAAAATTCTGCCCGGTAATGACCAATATTATGTTAGTACTCCGCCATTCATTGTACCTTCTGAAGTTGGAAATGACTTTACCCTTATTTTTCCTCTCTTCTTGATTTATGTGGGTTTTCCCCCTCCCATTTCCACCTACTCTCTCTACCTACAGACTGGTCTAAATTCTCTGATCCGATTCCCAAAAATTGCAAGGGGGTTCCTCTTCCACCCCTCTAACTGCTCCCCTCCTCACCTACAACCCAAAGTGTGCTGTGCGGGCCAGCGGCCTGGGCTGCGTGAGGGGCTGGCCAGGAATGCAGAATCTGCCCCAGCCGAGGCCCATGGAACCAGCACTTCCAGTTTGAGAAGCTGCTTTGCTCTATCCGCAGCGTGGATCAGAGAAAATGACAGGAAAATGTGTTTCCAACTATCCTTCCCCAAAGCCCTCCCCCAACTCCCCATCCCCCCACCCCCGGCGGGGTGGAAATCACTCTGAAGTCCATTCTGAGTGGAACTGAGAGTATTTCACAACTTACACTCGGGAGCGCCTCCCCCACCACTGGCTTTCATGATATCACTCAGGGCAGGCAGGGGAGATCCAGCTAATTACCCTCTCTGACTATGTGGGGGAAGATTTAGCGCAAGACCTGTTTTCCCCAGGTACCTTCTCTCCTCCTGTCACTTCCCCAGACGTTAGTGCACCTAACACGCAGTCTCCCTGAGACCTCAGTGATGGGGAAGCATGGAGAATCTCTCCCCTGCCCAGCACGTGGGTAAGAGAGTTGGTCTCAGTCTAGTAGTCACCATTGTACGATGACCTCAGGGGTTAAGCACGCGAGAGTCCTGCGACACACCTGGCCTTGTGAGGCGTCTGATCTCATGAGGACTTCAGTGTTTCTGGGCCACCACCCCAAATGCATAGCTCATCTATGCAAGGATCATCTACCTCTTCTTCACGTGACCACACTCATCTGTGCTCGGGGATGTCCTGCCGCTACTAGGCTTCCTCCAAAGCGTCACTAGGCCCTCTGGCAGCCTCACCCCACTGCAGTACACTCCCCTAGGCCCCAGCGTCTCCATTCAGTGCTCCCCCCCAAGGTCGCTCTTTACTGAACTCTGGCCCAACCCAGAGATCCTGAGCAGCACTCTTCCCTCAGGAAGTATCCCCTCTCCTATTATTCTCGACTGCTAATCAGTGCTCTCTACCCCCTGGCTCCCTGAGGATTCTGGCATTCAACACAAGGTCTTCTTTCTAACCAATTCTTAGCATCAGTTTGGGTGAGTTCATCGCAAGTGAGTCCTTCAGCCGCCTTGCCTCCGAGTTCTTTGACGTCTTCAGCCCCAGGGGTTTTCGTCCACGGACCACTTCAGCTGCCTCCCTCCAGTGACATAACCCTCCACTGTGTCACCTGAACACCTCAGTTCCCAGAATTTCAATCTCAGTACACTCATCCCTGTCCACAACCTCCCATCCCTCCAGATTTTGCTCTTGCTTATTGCATCGACAGCTGTTCTTCAACTTGATCAAGACCTCAACTTGAGCGACCCTATAGTGTAGTGGTCGCCAATGAACTCTGTGACGCTGGAAATGTTCTATGTCTTTGCTGAACCAGTCACCAGTCAAGGTGGCTAGTGAGCATCTGATATATGGCTAAAGTGACAAAGAAATGTAATTTTTATCTTATTTAATTTTTAATTAATTGAAATGTAAATGGTCACATAGTGTGGCTATCATATTGAACAACACAGAAACAGCATGTCTTTTTAATAATTCCTTGCCAGGAGCTTCAATCAGTGTGCCCCTGTGTCTCTAGAATTCATCCTGGGGACATTCTACTTTCAATCTATGTATGAGGATACTTCAAAAAGTTCATGGAAAATTAAATAAAAAGATAAGCTTATTTGGGTGCAAAGATTTCTAAATTCATGCAGTTTTTCCATAATATACACTGTCTATGACATTTCTGAAATATCAAAATTTTTTTCTGCCAAAATTAACTTCTCTTTCAATTTCATCTTCCATGAACTTTTGATGTACCCTCACATCTTTTCCTAGAACTGAGCGGCTGAGCACTCCTGAGGAAAGCGTTCGGTTGTGCAGACAGACTGATGACATTCCCACTGGGCAGTGTCCTCTCACTTCCCCTGGCCTTTCTGCTACTCGCCCTGCTCACACCCTCCCCGACCTCGCCCTCTCCTCACAGCAGTCACTGCACACCCACCCCCTATCATCACTTTAACTTTCTCTTTCCTTTACAGTCAAACTCCCTAAAGGAGTCAGCAACTGATGTTGCCCTCCCTCCCACTGCCCACCCCCACTTCTCCACCAAAACTGTCCCGCCAGAGGGCTGTCAGGGACGTCCCACCGCTGCAAAGCCCAGCACTCCGGTCAGACCTCAGCTCACTGGACCACTCAGTCACATCTAATGCTGTTGGCATCTCTCCATCCTGAAAAGTTCTTCTGTTCTTTCCCTGTGTCCGACTTCCTGGCCAGACACTTCTGATCACTCCCTTAAATGCTGATGACCTCAAATGCCTGTCCTTGGTCTTCTTACTCCCCATACCCTCTCCTGTTGTCTTTGGCCCATGGATTCAACTGCTGACTAGCAGCGATTAAGTCACAGCGGCTTCCACTGCCCCCATACTTTCGCTAGGGCTCTGGATCCCCCTATCCACCTGCCTACTGGAGGCCTGCATCTGGACAGTGACAGGTGCTGTCTTCCTCCCCTCCAGTCTTCTCCACTACCTCAGTGAATGCTTCCCCACCCACTGCCATCTGCAGTCCT